TCATTCTTCAAGGTATCGAACAAATGAGTTTCAAATTTTTTCTTTTACCTTTTGAATAAGTTGTTCAAATGTTCCCACATTTGAATCTCCACTAGAAGTAGTCGAAAGGCTGGAGCGACTTTTTTTCTTTCTGAAGGTGACCCTCTTTTAGTCATCATTAACTTGACATATTCAAGAGGAGTGATTTTCTTCAAAATGTCCAAATCCTCTTGGGAAAGTTGTGGTTGAACACTGCTATCATCTCGCTGAGTGGTGGAAGTACTATTTTCCTTATAACCAGCATGAACATGTGTATCTTCTTCGTCTTCATCATGAAAGTATTGTGCAATGTCATCAGAAAAATGCTCATCTTTATCAATCTTTTTTTCATTGGTTTTCATCCTTTTTAGAGAAGAGTCATTGGGGATATCATTGTCTTGGGCTTTGTCAACATGAGTCTGTTTAGTCTCAGTTCGATGTGCCTCATGATCACCCTCAGATCAAGGAAAAACTTCTTTCTCAGGATGCACAACGATATTAAATTGGTTCAAATTCGTAAAAGATCCTTTATTAGAGTCTTGATTAAGGGAAAAAGGGTGGTATGAAGCAGTGCCGCTACTAGGAGGGATCTCATATTGAATTGGAGATCCAGTTGGAACTGGTTGAGAACCCTGCAAAAAGAAGAATGTAAGATTATTCGAATAGAAGACAATCAGTTTTCGAAGAAAGATATCTGATAAGATTAAACCTTCAGTCCTTCGACTCTAGGACTTGAGTAGTCACTCTCAATCTTCTCTAAAACAACATGGCCAGTTGGTTGAGAGCTCTTCTTCCTTTTTGGTGAAGGGGGCAGTGCATCGACGACTATAGGTTTGGATGGTTGAGAAGAATTTGTGTCAAAGAGATTTGCTTTATTCTTCTTTATCTTCTTGGTCTTTGAAGGAGTGGGGGATGCATCTCCATCATCTTCAGAAATGTGGGGAGTTTCAATGGTGTATTTTCTCTTATTTAGAGTAAGAGGTTGTTTTCGACCAGCCTGTAAAGAGCAAAGAAATTAGTATAAATGATGCAATAGAGAAGAAAGAAAAAATACCGAATCATACCTGGGTTATTGTCTGATATTTTTCAAGATCAAGAATAGCACTCTTCGATGAGGAAGTGTCTTGCTTAGGTCCACTCGTTGATCTTGTCTTTGAAGTAAGTTTTTCTTTCTTTGCTGGTTTCTTTTCAATAGCTGAAAGAACATTACAATATCATACTTTAGTGTCAATTAAGAAAGAAAAATGATAAAGATGATCGAAGGGATCAAGAGATCCTTTGGTTCCACACCTTTACTTTATGGGGAAAGTATTGTAACATGATTTAGATCGAAGTGAAGGAAGCCTTTGAAACTGTCCAATGTATGCTTAGTCAAAACCACTCTTTCAACAAGTTTTTTTGAATCCTGCTTTAAAAATTTGAGATAATTCCCATAGACGAACCAGTCTAGATAAGGAGGGTAAAATGCCAGGCCAAAATTATAAGGAAGGTAAAATTCCAGGCCAAAATCACCACTGGGTAATTTTGGGAACTTTGGTGGTTCGAGTTTGAAAGCTAAGTCATACCAATCTTCTGGTTTAACACACGAGGGAATATTCAAATGCGAAAGCATTTTAGTAAATTTTTCTCTCAAAGTTTTTATTGCATTATATATGGTTTGACTAAGATCATTCAGATTGTAAACAGTTTCAAAGTACTTTTGGAACACCTGGATCTCTTTGATGCGAGTCTTTGTACCTTTCTTGATATAATCTTGCACAGAAGCAAAAGCTTTTGTCAGTTGCTGAGCAAGGATGGTTGCATCGAACATGTTGTTAGAGTAATATTTCCTCCATCAATGATCGAAGGCTTTGGTGCAATAGAAGAAGGATTGGAAAGGATGAGGGCGAATTCAGCAAATGTGGAGTAGCGTTTCATATGTTCTTCTCTTTCAGGAATAGTGAAATGAATTCCTTGAAAGAAAATAACACTCTTTCTTTCAAAAAGAGGTCCAGGAATTAATTAACAAAGTCTAAATTGTCGAGCAACAAAATTGGGTTGATAGGCGAGTAAGATGACATGGCTCTTAATAGGCATGAGTCTTATGGTGATCAAACTTGGAAGTAGGAAAGCTCGCTAGATGACCAAGATTTCTGCCTCTTGAAGTGGCGAAATATCAAAGAGAGGCCTTGTAAACCATTCAGGGTCAAGGGTTCTCTAAGCAAAAGGAGCCATCGAAGGAGTAAAGTTATGAAGTTTTGCAAACATCATAACATAATTTATAAATCATTCTTCAAAGTCCTTTCCCTCTTCATTCGGGGTCAATCGAATTAATCTGGTTCCCTCAATAGTACGATTCTAGATTTCTGGGTCTGTTTCGTCTATTTGTCCAAAGCTGGAAAGTGGAGGTTCGAAGGTGGCATTAAGCCACAATTGAAGGAGCCAATATGGGCCATCTAAAAGTAAATTCGTCCTTGCTTCATAAGCTTTCAGGTATCTAGTAGCTTCCCCTAGACACTCATAAATGCCAACTAATACTAGTTGACTAAGGCAAATGTTTCGACCATAGTGAAGTTGGTTGGCTAGGGTTAAGAATCTCTTGGCTACTTGCAGAGATTTGCTGCAGAAAACACATCGAGGTAGCCACAACATAAGGAAAGCTATGTGTTCCACGTCTTATACTTCTTTTCCTCCAGCATGATAGTGAACAATATATTTGGCGAAGCCAACGTGGTCAACGTTGAAGCTAATGGAGTTTTCTGTTTATTCAGTAGGATCAAAGACTTCCCCAGTGGGTCAAAGCCCAGTTATAACAACAACATCCAAAAGAGTGGGAGTAATCATTCCACAGGGAAGATGAAAAGTGTTATAAGTGGTGTCCCAAAAGTTCAAAGACGCTATTAGCATGTGTTGGAAATAGCTTGGTCCGACTTTTGACAATTGAATTAAGTCAAAAATACCCATGTCTTTTCAGACTTGGGATTTCTTTTGTTCAACTTTAGCTAGCCAATCAAGATATGGCTTGCTATCCTTCACTGGGCATGACCTAGAAGGACTAGAGGATTCAATCATATAATCTAAATGGAAAGGTTTTACTTCCTTTACAATTTTTGAAGGAATTTTCTCCTGAGTGATTTTTGCAGTTGGCTCTTTAGGGTTTGGATCAACCTTTTCATCTGCATTTTTGGGGGAACTATGCTTACTAGCTATGGGTTTGGTTAAACGATAAGTTGGAAAAAATCCTTTAGTTTTATCTAAATCATCAATATTAACTAAAAGATCCATATATCCCAAGTTTCTATCAGCAATGGTAAAGGGAATAATTACCTAGGATGCGTAGATAACACATTGCTCTTCGAAGAGTATAAACGTTGGCACAAATTCCTTATTCCCGATCAAAGTAGGTTTTGCTATGTGACAAACATGAACCGTAGCTGCATCTTTAGTTTTCTTCAAGTCTTGAGCAGATTTGTTACCTTTCTTGGAGGGTGCCATTGTTGAAGAACATTTTGAGGTTTGATTGATTGTGGAAAGAAGAAGAGTGAAAGAAAATCGCAGATTTTTGGAAGTTTGAGAGCAGAAAAAGTGTCGATTTGAAGAAAAAGGAATTATTTATAAATAAAAGGTGGCAAAAACTGTTCATTTTTTATTTTGACAATGAAATAGATAGTGGGCACGTGTCAGTGGCTGATAAGTTGACAAGATGATTACTTTTTCGAAAAGCCACGATTTATACCTATTTTAATGTAACAATGATGAAATCTAAACTACACATATCTTGATGAGGCGTTTGGAAAGATAGTCATCATGACCATGACGTCACATCAACAATAGTCATCATGAAGAGAATTCTGCGTAAAAATTGAGATCTTGCAAAAAATGTCCATTTCTTCGAATGTTGCGAAATAAATATTTTTGGAGGGTAATTTGTTGGTTGAATATTTCGACGACTCATGGTATGAGAGAAATAAGAGGATATCGAAGAAAGGTTAGTTTTACAAAAGAAATGTGAAGATTATTACGTATGGTCTTCAACTGACTGACCAAATAGAGGTTGAAAATTATTAAGTATTGACGAAGCCTTATTATTGTGGAGTATATAAGACTTGAGATATTTCGAGTTTCAAATTCAAATAATTCGATAGGTCACGTCGTGGTTTTGGCGTTTTGAATCGAAGACAAATTTGAATTCAAATGTTTTATTCTTATCCAGAAGGACGCGTAAAAGTCTGAGGGTTTAAAGAAGCATGCAATGGAAAACGTGACACTCCTATAATGAAAGACCGTTATGGTCGAAGTAGTATAAATTAAGATCTTTATGTTAGATTTTAGTGTATCACTTTTATACAAATTACTCATAAAACTCGAAGTATCAGTGTTAGAGAAAATAGTCATTGAGAATGTACACATGAATTACCCCATTTTACTTAATTGTCATTTTGTCTTTACCAGAATCTTTTTTATTCCTTTTACTTTTAAGTCGAAATCTTTTTATTATCCTATAATTACTCTACATAAAACTTATGTCTTTTACACATTAATCATAATCTTTAAAAAGATAAACATTCTAAAAATATAAATCAAGGAAACACAAAATATATCTTAGAAACAATCTAATCAATCCTATAAGTAATCATAATTTATAGAATACAGAATACTAGCATTTATTTACCTATTTTCAGAGTAAACAAACGTACACCTACCGTGTAATTCATTCATTTTCTACTTGTCTCTCTTCATGTTCCTCTCTTCTCGTCTCTTTTTCTTCCCCAAAACCCTAACCCGCTACAACACCTTTCTCCCCCCTTATACGCCCATCACCACCTCCGATCAAAAACCCAATCCCATATTCGTTCTCCACATCTCACGACCATCCTAACAAACCGAATAAATTTTTGTTTCAGCGAACCTTATCGTCGACCACCACTTCCCATTCTCCTACCGTCGTAGCTCGATATGGAAAAAAAGAAAAGCTTCAACTTGATCCCTGTATTACTAGCCTCATGAGCATCCCACTTGTCTCTTCTATGTAAGTATTTTTTCTTTTCTGAAAGTATGAATTTTGGGTATGAAATCATAAAGGTAGATATTATGATGAGGCTAAATGCTTTCTACGTGTTTGTTAATATGTCAATGTTAGTTTTCATGGTTGGATTATTAAGGGAAGAAAAGAAAAGATACTATTTGTATTGCACTTGCTAATGATACTTGTGATGATATGTATAGAGCGTGTCCTCAGTCAGGCAGATCCATTCAATTTGATGGCTTTAATGGTAAATATTTGTTATTTTGTTTATTTTCACGTTGAAGTTAAATCCGCTGTTAATGAAAAGCTTAGTCATTTTTAATGATTTCAATAGTTGCATTGATATGTCCTGCTTATTACCAGCTATGTTACACAGACACAATAGTTGACTCGAGGAAAGTCCCAATGCTTGTAATTTCAATTGAGATTGTGTTGATGGAAGTTACCCGTGCTTTCTTTGATTTCATGGCCACGATTGCAGTAGACGTGAGTTTTGTTATTCCACAGTATATTTTAACTTTAGATTTCATTTTGCTTCAGTTTTTCTAGTTTTCAGCCTTCCTTTTATCGATGTGTGTTCTCATAACTTATTATAGAAGATGAGAATGGAAAGACTTATTACAGGTTCCTGCCCTGAAAATTGCACTGGCAATGGCTTGTGTCGTAACAATGGAATATGTGAATGTAAACCTGGTTACACTGATATCGCTACTATTCTTCAAATTAATGATCTTAAAAACTCTCATGGGTTCGTTATGAAGGAGCTTAGACAAGCTACTAATCAGACACTTCAATTGCTTCAAGATAACTATCCTGAATTTGTTACCAAACAGATTATTAACCGTTATTGTGATTTTTTTATATGAGGATTTTAAGTATATAATTGCAGTTGAATGTGGCTTCTTTATAAATATGTTGAGTCTGCAGCTGTAGGAGATTCCATTGTCACCTATGTGATGAATCAATTCTTTAACAATAGGGAGGAACAAACTTCAAATCCCGAGTCTGGTGAGGAAAACTGTGAATATGTGGTATATGTTCTTTAATGATATGGCGTCGAATGTGATTGATATAATATATTCTGCTCGACATAGTATATGCTTTTTACTTCTTGTCTTTTGTATTTATTATGTGAAAACATTCTGATTTCGTGTCGATGCTTCCAGATGGTCTCTAGGAGCCATAATGTATGAATTGCGTGTTTGGTTATTAACTCCCTTTGTTTGTGTTTTTTCCCTTAGCTGTGTGAATTGGTGTCGTTGCAACGATATACAAATTCTTTGTCCACACTTCAAAGGGCTTCATTAGTAGAGAAGTCCAGACATAAGCCACAAGAGAGGATGATAATTTTATCAGATGTAAGTTGTTTTGCCAAGGTTTGATTGATATTGCCATGACATCCATATGTCACGGCTGAAGGGTTCTTTTTGTTGCAGGCACTTAAAACCAACAACTATGGTGTTGAACCTCTGATTCAAAGTTGTGGAATTACTATAAGCACATGCTTTACTCAAGTCGAAGGACGTGTTTTGCCTGCTTCAAGGGTATATTTTTAATTCATGTAGTTGATTGATCATGAAAGTTCTTGTTTGGGTATTAGTATTATGTGTTATGCTTTGAATCTGACTATTGAATTGTTTTCATTTGTTGAAATTCGGCAATGGTGAAGATTTCAATCCAAGAAATGGAAGGTGGAATTTTAACAAGGTAATTTTTACATCCCTCGCATTAGAAAATCTTTTGCATGTTCCTGCTATTGACTAGCATTCTAAGTTCATAAAGTAACTTCAATGTTTCTCTCTCCAGAAATTTGTGCAGCCAACAATGATAGATAAATGGGCCGTGGCAAACTTTTTTACACGATGTGATGTACGGGGACTTATTAGGGATCTAATTAGAATTGGAAATACAAAAGGAACAACAAAAACTTTTCTACACGATGTGATGTACGGGGACTTATTAGGGATCTAATTAGAATTGGAAATACAAAAGGAACAACAAAAACTTTTCTACACGATGTGATGTATGGGGACAACAAAAACCGAAGTAACATCACCACCACGTTTTGCTGCCATTGGTATTTTTTTATCGTTTTCTTTGTGTTTGCTTTCATAATGTTTTTGTTGTTTTGTTAATTGTTGGATAGATTGTTTGGATTTTGTGTTTTGTGCTGAGTGAGAAATCATGATGAAAATATACATCTGAACTTACATTATGTTGCTTGTGTTTTGTTGTTTGAGTTTTTACAGTGATGTATGTTTGTATGTTGTATTGAATGAATTGTCAGGACCCTTTTTTTTTGAACAACAGCAACAATCATCACATTTTCGGTAAGATTATAATCTTCATGAAGAATTTTTTGTGTTAATGATGCTCAACCTTCAACTCTCTCTTGAATATATTCAACCTTTTTTTTTTGAACAACAGCAACAATCGTCACATTTTCGGTAAGATTATAATCTTCATGGAGAATTTTGTGTTAATGATGCTCAACCTTCAACTCTCTCGAATATATTCAAGTCCTAGCATTCTTCTATTGAACCCCAATGGCCTGTCAAAGAGTTTAAAAGGAAAAGTTAATCATTTCATGCCTTATGTTTTTCAACTTCTGCACTGTTATATTTTGTTAATCTAATGAGTGATTGTTAGTCTATTTTTATAACCTTGGATCCTGTAAATGAATTTTTCTTTGAAGTAGCAGCAACAAAGTTCATCAATAATGAAGCAAAAGTAATCACAACTGACATCGACGAAAAACATGGCCAAAAGAATGTGAAAGAACTAGGATCTAATGCAACTTTCATAACTTTCAACGTCATGGAAGAATCAGACATATCTGATTTCATCGATTTTGCCGTTTCTAAATACAAACAACTTGATATCATGTACAACAATGCACCTACCCAGCAAAACTCCAAGCATAGGTACTCGGTATTGAAGTTTGTCGTTATATGCATTGTTAAATCTTTAGCTTTTGAGCTATGTAGGCATGGAATCTGAGTCAATTGTATTTCTCCTATTGCCATACCTACTCATTTCATCATGTTGAATATGGACGATTTGTAGAAATTGTTCGTAATGTTGGTGTACTAAAAGGAGCATATTGTGAAGCAAGTAATGGATGGAGGTTTGACATCTTTTAAGAGTTTGGAGTTTCCTGCACCAGATCAAGTGCAGTATAAGTGTTCTAATGAAGTGTTCTAATCAGTTATTATTCTTAAACAACATTTTGCTAATATTTTAAGGTCTTATTCTAATCAGTTAATATTTTGTCGAAGTGTTTTTATCAGAATAATTTGTTTCCCTCTAAAAAGGTGTTATTTTGATGATGTGCAGTCAGGAAACTGGTCAAGGCAATATTTGAAATTGAATAATATGTTAGAAATAAAAGTTTTGTATGTTTTATTTAACTTGAAGCATATTACAAATGGTACACCTAGAGAAATATTCAAGGCTTCACATTGAGTGTTCCTTCGGTATTTGTCTAGGATTTGATTTCAATCCCATAATCAAAGAGTTTAAAAGGAAAAGTTAACCATTTCATGCCTTATGTTTTTCAACTTCTGCACTGTTAATTTTGTTAATCTAATGAGTGATTGTTAGTATATTTTTATAACCTTGGATCCTGTAAATGAATTTTTCTTTGAAGCAGCAGCAACAAAGTTCATCAATAATGGAGCAAAAGTAAAAATCATGTTGAAATAACTAGGATCTAATGCAACTTTCATAACTTACAAGATTTAATTTTAATGATTAGAATGTTGAAATTATAGTTATAATTATAATTAATGATTAATGATTAATTATTTTACTTTGAGCAGTCTACTTACAAAAGGATTAGCTGGAATCGAGGAATGGCAATGGGGCGGATCGGGGGGTGGGTTTAAGTACATCTAGACTCGCATCCGCCATCTAGACTCGCATCTGCCCTCAACTCTAAATTCGACCGGGACTAATATTTGTTCTCCGTCTCTAATAAGAAACGGATTTCTCCGCACCCGCCCGAATAAAATATTAATTTTTTAAATTTATATTTTTTTCAATAAAAATAAAAATCAATAATTAAATTAAATAATTAATTATTTTAAAAATATTTTTATGTTTGATATTTTTATTTAAATTGTATTTTAAAAAAATAAATAATAATTCTAATAAATATGATATTATATATTAAAGAGTGTAAATAAGTAATAAAATTATTAAAAATAAATTAAATAAATTAAATTTAGTTGACGGGTGCGGGGCAGTTGCGGGTGTAGGACAAATACTAGCATCATCTGATTTCGCATCCGCACCCGTAAATAAAAATTAAATTTTTTCTGCATCCGTCTTCGATTAAATCGGGTTTTCTCTACTAGTTTTAGGGTGGAGGCAATTAGAATATAACGAGGACGAGTTTATTTGTCATTAAATAGAACCAGTATAAATATTTATGTCAAGTTGCAATCCTAAATGTAAGATGTTTTATCTTTTTGTTAAACTATAAATGTTTATGTCAAGTTGCAATCCTAAGAATAAGTCAATATTCACATTTCACATCATTCATGAAATTTAAAAAGGCATATTATTTAAAAAAAGAGTGTTATTTTGATTTGCAGGTTGATGTCAGAGATCACTTTATTGATTACCATTCTATGATAATTTTTTTCAATATCTGAATTTTATATTGTAAAAATTATATATGGTTAAGTTTACATTTATATAAATATAAAAATGAGTGAAAATATTTGTTTTCAAGACAAATTTAATTAATTCTATTAATTTATTATCATTAAACATATTAGTTAATGTATTTTTTAATTTTAATTTAATTTTTATTTTTAATAATCAAAATTTATCATTATTTTACGGGTCACTATTATTATAATACCTTTTTTTATTATTTATTTTACTCAACAAAATATTTGTAAATGTTGATAGGTATTAATGATATCTATAAATATTTATAACTATTAAATATAATGAGTTTATCATATTGGTAATTCACTACATATTTATTGCTAAATATTTACAATTATTAGTTATTGGTACTCTAAATTGTTAATATTATAAATAATCATATTTAAAAAATTTATACATTATATATATAATCACCACTCAATCAGGATTCAAATTAATTCACACATATATAATTAGTCTTCATGGTAAACTTAGTACACTTAATATTAATTTCATATTTATATAGATTTGGAATAACCTTTAATTAAATTTTTTATTCGTTTATTTTTTGTTTTATTTTTAATAATCAAAATCTATCATTGTTTCACGGGTCACTATCACCACGATTCTTTTTTTATTTTTTTATTTTAATCAACAAAGTATTTGTAAATGTTTATGATTATTAGTGATATTTTTATATATTTATAGTTATTAAACATATTGAATTTATTATGTTTATTATTTACTACATATTCAGTTTTAAATATTTGCAGTTATTAATAGTTTTATAATAACAACTACATATTAGCAGCAAGCAAACTTTATCGAATGATTTAAGCTATAAATAAACTTACCCGTAAGGACGCACATGTTTTCTACTAGTTTTCTTAAAAATGAATTACTAATCGTTGTAACAAAATGTGTCAAGTAGAATAGTGAGGAAAGTATAATTTGTTAGTGTGGTGGTTGTGATAGTCCATGTGTTTTCTCCTTTAAATTGTTTTGTCTCTTCCTTCTGACCCTAGAGGCTAGATCATTTATAGAGATCCCATGGACTTAACTAAGAGTAGTTTTCACAATTCTATCATCAAGAACTTAGGGCAGAGAAGACTCGTTCTCCTAAAACACGGGGATATAGTTTTCATCCTTCATTAACACCCCTCCACCATTATTTCACGCGTGCTAAGTGAGGCAAATCGTAGGTGGTGAATCCAAGCCCCACCAGGAGGCTCACCATACCTTTCAGGCGATCGTATATCTTCAAGCGCCCAGACCTATTTTAGGTGTCTAAGCCCCTTATGCCACTCACTCGATTCTGCCATAAACTATTTTTTTTCCACGAATCATCCCTTGTTTAGACCTAAGTAAATTATTTTAGTCCACCGTCCCTCAATTCAAAGACCTTGTAAAGGACGAAATTATTTAATTTCGACATATTGCCATTATGTAATTCTACAAATTCCTCAAGTGAATCATGTGACAAGTTCCTCAAGCGAAGCATGGGGCGAGCCCCTTAAGCAAAAAGTGTGGCGAGTCTCGTAAGTATCACCTAGTACAACATGTGCAATATTAAATACTTATAATGATGGATCAACCTTGAGAAGCCAAGTCTTCAGAGGCACTCCAACAAATAACACTATTTATGATAAAACTTTCATCTCCAACATGCTAAAAACTGAGAGGATATGTCCCGGGAGCATAATATTTTATTTTTTAATAAGATAACTAACATGTTACATCGGTGTTATACAAAACCGAGGTAACACAACTATAAGTTAGCGCCTTTTTTATCCATAAAAAAATTAATAAACTTGTTATCTCGATTTTCTTGAGAACCGAGGTAATATAGCTATAAGGAACCTCGATTCGAATCCTCGTTGCCGCATTTAAAACTTTTTTCAACGATTTATCACTTGGCGTCTTTTCCATATGCAATATTTTTTTTGTTAATTAGTAATGCTCAAAAGTTTTGTTATCAATAAACAAGAATATAGGCAATAATAGAAAAAAAGAAATATTTCATTGATAATAATAATAAAAAAACATAACAAAGAAAACTACTCAACAAATTCAAACTTCTCAGTCCATTCGACTTCAACATTATCCCTAACTATCTCTAACTTATAAAAAGTTCAGAAATAACTCTTCCATAAGGTATGAGGAAAGCCATTTTCTCCCGATAAGTATTTATCATTTCCTTCAAGAAGTTGAAAATGGTTAGAGGAAGATTAACTCTGATGTTGTAGGTGAGGAATAACAAGAGATGCTTGTCATACCAAGTAAGCGCTTCTATGTCTTTCTCTCTTGGGCGGAGATTCGTCACTAGAAGTTGAAACCAAAATTTTGCAATTGGGAGTAGAGAAGCAGGGCTGGAGAGCTTATCTTGGTTGGCAGAAATTCAGTGAAGTTGGGTTGAGTAGACAATGTTGAATTCATAATGTTCAACACAACTACCTGTCTCTTGACAGTTGATTGTCATAGCAATTAGTGATGGATTAATGAAGAAATGAGAGCCATTGACATAGGACTGGATGCCTTTATTATGACCATCTGGAACTACGAATGCATTCATCCATAACTCTTTAACGAGATTAGTGTATATGGGGCCACGAAGAATATGAAAGTAACCATTCAACCTTTCTGTGTTAACAACCTTCCTTAGTTCAAAATGATTGAAACCCTTGAAATCAACATACTTTTCATTGATAATGAACGAAGATTTGCATCTGTTTTTGATAAGAAAGAAAATGAATTTGAAACAAGGAAACACGACACAGCGAGTTGGTAATTAGACGTTTAAATAGCTCAAAAGCCTCCTTGATAATTTAAAAGAGACGTTACGACTTGAATATAGAGAATCATTGCTATTCTAGTTAAGTAATATGATTCCAATGTATGCGCGCCACGTTGGTGTTCTAACCTCTGTTTAAATTATAATTTTTATTTATAATTAAAATGTTCTAACCCGTCGGTTTTCCATAAAAAACCGAGGGAACATGTAGCGTTAAAATTGAACGTTAAAATTGGAACCTCTATTTTAATTGTAGTTTTTATTTGTAAATTAAATGTTCTAACACGTCAGATTTCCTAAAAATCGAGGTAATATTTAGCGTTAAAATTGATATATTTATCAGATCCTTAATCAAATCCTTGTCGTCTATTTCATGACTATCAACGCTCAAGACATTACCTTTAGTGATTCGCCTGAAACATAAATTACTTCCATTATAAAAGCATTATGAAACTATACTCAATTTTAAGATTTGCAAGAGTCTTTGTCATGAAGAGTTCTCTATAGTTTAAGGTTTATATTCTTAAATATTTATTTGAGCAAAAAATCATTTATTTATCTAACCCTTTTTTTGTGTAACACTTTTTTTTGTTCATATCATAAACAAATGCAAGCCAAGGCCATAGGGA